ATCGATAGGATTAATCCAACGCTCGGTGTGTCAAAACAGTATGTAAGAAAAGACCCAATTCGTTTTTTTATGGTGATAAAAAGTCAAGTGACTTCGAGTTTATCGATAAATAAATCAGTGCTCCTTCAGCTGTTGCTTGCTAAAAGCATAGAATGACTTCTTAAGCGATTTAAGATGTTATGTTTCGTATGTGTTACCTACTGAGCACAACTCGAAAACCGTTTGTCGTTGAATTTGCTCGGTCTCCCTAATATTCGTACTGAAACCATATGTCCTCTAAAGAAATCAAAGGATCGCCACATTAAAGACAGCTTTGCACATGTACTGAACCAGAGTAAATGGGATCTACGATGAAATGTGCGGTCTGTATTACCTGGGCCTGTTCTACTTATATGTAAAATCGATGCTGATGTTGCAGAGCGCACTTTTTACAGTAAATCGAATAATAAATTTTAGTTACCATAAAATCACCCATGATCACCCGTCCGTAGGTTGCAAGAAAGGCTTTAGGAACACCAACTCACGATTTTACCTGAGCCGAAAACCCAAACACTGAGGGAAAGGCTAGAAGAAGATTTTGGTCGTTGGAAAGGTTTGTGCACCATAATGGGAATTGATGTCCGACCTGTGAGCCTCACACGCCTTGTGCGCCAGCCAAATTCGCCACACGCAGCAGAACCCAGGTTAGTACGAGTCACACTGAAGAGCGAAATGGACGTTCAGAACGTCCTTCTTTCGAGTTACCTCTTGAGAACCAGTTCCAGTACCACACGAATTTTCTCTAACAGACCACGGGTAGAGCGCGTGCAACGCCGGAACAAACCAAAGGGTGCATAGGAGGAAGAGAACAAAAGGGTTGTCCTCATTCATGAGGTCCCAAAACTAAATGATCCTAGTGAGTGCAGATGCTACTACAACGACTATAAAGAGTGATGTTTCACTAAGGACCTAATAAATTGCCAAGATGTTTGTACCACATCAATCAGTCGTCTTATGTTTTCACCAAATTACCACGGTAGTGGCCCGAAGATAATGAAAGTCACTCTCAGCACACCAAAAATGGCGACCACAGTACTTCAATCTTGAAAACTAAACAAGAAGAAAGGACCACCTGAACTGCGTCTGAGACCCTTGATGAAGTCTGCAGTGTCGGAATTTCCACTGTGTGATAACGGTACTAATGCGCAATCGATTCCGGCTTCATGCTCCCCTCCACAATTGGGGGATCAGAGTACCAGGGCTTCCTCCCCAAAAACCCAACGCAAGCCAAACTTGTGACGGGTGGTAATGAATTTACTTCTCACCCAAAGGAACTTCTATACCAAAAACATTTGACCTATTGCTACACTAATGCCCAAGGTTTCCCCAGTATGTCCTCCGAACTGGTGTTGGTGTTGCGCTCCCAGTCCAGTCAGTGGGATATCATTGCTGTCGCAGAAACTTGGTTGAAGGATGACATTCTCGACTCTGAGTTGTGCCTACCGGTCATGTATCTTCTCAGACGCCATCGTCCAACACTCGGGGGTGGTGTTCCACTTTACCATTGCGATGAAGTTGATTCTCCTGTTTCAGCCCCTGACACAATTTAGTGTAAACTGAATTTGTCAAAGCATGACGATTGTCTTGTTGGAGTGGTCTATCGGTCTCTCTCATCCATGGGGTCGGAAAACGATACACTTTTGCGAGCTAAGTCACAAGTCCTATCTGACAAAAGTAGTCATATTCTAATAGTGGATGACATCAACTGCCCTCATCTCAATCAAACTTCGACCTCCCATTCTTCGCTCCAAAGTCAATTTCAGCAGTTAATCGACTCGCATTCGCTGTACAAGGTTTGGGAACTGGGGCACGTCGTCAATACTGGATCTGGTATTAACCGACGAAGAGCTTATGGTCGAATCCATCGATGTCTCGTCCCCCCCCCCCTTAGGACGCAGTGACCATGCAGTATTGCTGTTCAAATATGTCTGCTACGCTTCAATAGAAAGATCTCTGCAAAACAAAACACGTCTTGCCACGAACTATACTAGATTGCAGCATTTGGCTCACTGCACTCAGTGGATCATTCCTAGGGACGTACATGACAAAGTGGTCAACTGGCAAGTATTTACGGACAGACTTACAAATCTGATCGCCTTAGTTACTAAGGTCGTCAGAAAATCAGGAGTCCAAAACTCGCCGATTCGCAGCCGCACAAGGAAATGGATGTCTCTGCGAAACCGATCTTGGCGAGAATACAATCGACTTCTAACGGACAGCATGTGGAATAACTATCGACAATTGCGAAACCATTGTACCCATTTGGTGCGGGAGGATAAACTGAGGTACCAAGAAGCACTCTCACGGAAGTTCATTCTCAACCGGTCACAAACATGTCAGTATGTGGAGGAAATTAAAGAATGGGATACCCGCACTTATCTCTCTTGGGAAGGTTACCAGTAACACCCAGGAAGCAGCTGAGATGCTGGAAAACCAATACGCCCAATTCTTTCACACACCTAACAACGCGAGACTGAGGCTGCCTCGTCGGATATTCTTCTTCCAAATCCATCACTGAATACCTTCACGTTTGATGCCGACAGAGTGAAATCAAAGCTTCTGGGTCTACGTAAGTATTCGGCTCCAGGTGCAGACAATCTACGTCCCCACCGCTTATTACGTTAGCGGATCACATATCTGAGCCTGTAGCTCTTCTTTTCCAAAGGATGTTTGACTCAACTGTGCTTCCCCAGTCGTGGAAACAAGGTATAATTTCTCCAAGTTATAAAGCGACTGTCGTATTGATATTGCCAACTTTCACCCGGTGACACTCCTACCCGTTCTATCCAAATTCATGGCATCCATCGTAAGGAATTTCTTGACGGAACACTTAGAGAAATACGACTTCCTTTCCAGAGCTCAGCATAGATTCCGTCAAAAAAGATCACGTACTACCAATCTGCTCCTGGCCCGCGAAGAACGGACAAAGGCAGTAGTCAAAGACGATCCTGTTGATGTGGTTTATCTGGACTTCTCCAAAGCGTTCAACCGGGTGAACCACGAAATACTGCTTCTTAAACTGTAAAAGTTGGTATCAGAGACCTCGCGCTTGATTGGATTGCTGCGTTTCTCCAAAAACGGACCATGTCGGTTCGAGTCTCTAATTCACTGTCCGCCCCTATCGCCGTTTCTCGCGGAGTCCCCGAGGGTTCTGTGCTTGGTCCGCGGCTTTTTCTCTTGTTCATAAACGATCTACCGAACGTCGTAGGACCACAAACATTATTGTTTACAGACAACGTAAAAATCTAGAAGACAGTGACAGAAATTGGAGGTTCGCTGGAACTCCAAGAAACTTTGAATGCAGCTCACAAATGGTCTAGTGAGAACGACATCCAATTCAAAGTCTCCAAGTGCAAAGTGATTTCGGTACGCCACCATAGGCGGTTTCTTGTTTCCTTGGAAACGAATTACTGCCTCATGCATCAACAGAGAAGGACTTGGGTGTTATAGTCCAAGAAGAACTGAGCTGTTCTATTAACCGTACCAGAGCGTCATCAATAGCACTCAAACATTTCAGTCTACTTAAACGTGTTTTCCGTCGTTTTGAACCACCTTTATTCCCACGCCTGCTGTCAGTATACATCGGGCAGCATATTGAGTATGTTATCCAAACTTGGAATCTGTGGTTACAACGTGATCATAAGAATTCGGAGCGTCCACAAAGGCTCGCCACGAAGATGGTCAAAGGACTCTGTCATGATTGATACATGGGGAGACTGTAGTTATTGGGTCTATACTCCTGAATCCGCTTATTATTATTTTCGTATCTGTGAATTCGTATTGGTTAAAAGAACAGTACCATATTTAATTTGTGTAGCTAAGCGCTCGAGCTATTAACCTTAGCTCGAATGGAGGGGCTTCGACTCGCTACTGGAAAAGTTCACAGTTCAAATTTAAAAAGAAACATAAAGTTGGTACATGTTACTGATGAATTTCAGCAAGTGTGAAACGCCCGTCCCTGGTTTTCCTATCAAACAAAGTGTTCACAAGAAATGGGGTCCAGAGTGAGAATGAGATATGAGTGTATAACTTTATATGTTCCTTATTAAGACCATCGTATTGATATCTCTATCTGTCCAAAATTTGCACTGCGCTCCTAGCCGAACGTATATCGTAACCCAATCACACATTGTATAAAACACTAGAGAAGCCTGCAATTCCATCCCCAATTTTGAGACTAGTACTGATCCGAATGTATCACATCCGATGGGCACAGGCCGATACTTGACTCAGGCAGACAAGTTCCGAAGTGGATTCTGCACTCACTCGAACCAGTTGGGATTGCAATAATAGGTCATCACTTGGATGCTGAATCAACAGCACCCCTCGAAACGGACAACGACAGCATCATTTGAAAGAATAAAATGTGGTTCAAGTCAGCGGGCACTCCAAATAACCAAATACTATTTATCAAACGATTTATACAACCAGTCCTCAGATGGTTAAGGAACGACTACCTTTGAACGCTGATTATAATCCGTTTTTGGAGTTTCATACAAGTGTGAAAAAAGAGTTATGTGATATGAACAACTCAGCAGTTATGCTCTGGATTTGCCGAGTTCATCTCAAACGAGGTGAGGTGTAATGTGACGCAATCCGGTTCACCCCTTCATTATTGTTCTTGGGGAAACTGGGGAAACATCCTTCTTCATCCGCAGGTTCAAAATGCTAGGTGTACAACTGCTGTTTGATTTCTTAAGCACGTGATATGCACCACTATCATTATCGCTTGTAAACCTGCCTCTGTTCCAAATTTAAAGACCAAGTATTTCACTGAAAATTACAGATTCCTTTAATTTCTCTCGAGACCTCAAACGTGTACTACGTGCCCAACATAATTCCCTTTTAACGATTTCTGCAAGCAGCTGACATTTGCACCATCCGATTTGCTACTTAGACATGTGTTCTTCAGAACATTTATTTACGTGAACACATTCTAGGACAAATCAACTAGGAGGTACAGTCACAAACAAAATGACAATCGTCTTTCGACCCCATTTTGTTTGCTCCTTGAAATCTTGCATCTGTTCGGCAAATCAGGAACGTCGTGGATTCTTGATGAAGAACAGTGAAACTATCATTGTTATTATCATATATACTTATGATGTATTTGTTCACGGATTGTCTGCAATGGAGGTATTTTATACTGTCATGAAGTACTTATTTTACCAATGTTAACTGAGCAGTAATGTGGACGTTAGATTATCATATGTGAATGTAGTTTGCATAACCAAGTGTGTAACGCTCCGTTAGTAGTCATTAGTTCCGATCAAGTTTTCAAATGCAGGAACCTGAATTTCTTACAGTGGTTTGTCTACGATAGTTTCAGTTCTGTCATCTTGCACTTTCCAGCTCAAGTGGGTAGATTACATAACTTGAAATGTTCCGTGATATCAAACGTCCATGGTTCTGTTGATCCACGTTTGCAGACGTGCGAGGCAATAATCAAGCATTTTCGAGAAGTTATTGACATGGCAAGCAAGGCCAACGGTTTTCAATGTGCTCCTGAAGATGGATCATTTGTGCGGTGCATTGCTAAAATGAGCTAGCCTGATCCGGTGATTAGAGATCCAGTGTGCAGTATGCTTTAATTCCGTATAAGAGGTCCGCCATTGGACCTCGAAAGGGATCAGTCGATTCGCTCTGTTCATAATGTCCAACAATATATGGTTTCGTCATGATTTTGTTCACAGAGAACCTGGTGCCATAAGACTGTTCATCAGAGGTCAGTTATTCCAGTTTTCAACTGTCTATTGGTGTTCTTTCACGTGAAAAACTTCGGATTGTGAAAGACATTTGTTTGTAATCACCCCTACACTTGTTACAACTCAACAAAAACTTGGGCAGAACAGTGCATGATTATCATTACCGTTCGTACACCGATCGACCAAATTCTTTTGTTTCTCCGTTAGAAAAAGTCCTTTGGATCCTTTTGGATTATATTGACGAACATTTTTGTCCGGATAGAGAATGTGTAAACTTTGAACAGAAATGTATGAGCTGAATCCATTAGGGTACCTCAGGTGAATTTTGAAAAAGCTGAGAAGATTGATTCGAAATGCCGGTCAATCTGTTGGTTATTGTCGATAACACTGACCATCATTCACTCTCGTCCGGGATTCATCCCCGACTATTACACGTCGTCAGGCTTGAATTTGCCAGCCGCCTACACTTCATCATGCATTGCACTCTACAAAGTGCAATAGGCAATATTCGGTGCTGTCATCTGTGACCTACAACAAATAAAACACCAAGGATTTCGACAAGTGGACAGAGTTCCAAGAGGCGATGCATTCGGGTTCCCTAGTGTAATTTTTTTGAATAAAAGCTGACATCTTTGAGTTGATGTTATGGTTGACAATAGAAGACATCATAAATTATTCGAACGGCTGAATATTTATCACCCAAGCATCAGATTAAGAAGTTACAAGTGAAGAACGAATGACTGTATTGTGTTTCATGGTAATCCGGACAATCCGGACAATCAGAACAACTAGTGTGTGCCAGGGAGACAGTATACTCCCCATAAACTGCTTTGTTTTAGGAAAAT